ACACCATCCTGCGCCCTGGAGAGACCAACCGTCAGAGTAGACTAACAACTAGTCTCTGAAATGAACATATTTTACTGAAAAAAGTTCATAGTAAAAAAATTAAAATATAATGAAACGGAGCCCTGAGACTTTCTTCATGAAGCTGAGGAAATCTAGACTTGCCACATTTTCTAGACTTGTGTGGGCTTTCTTGGATATATTTGCTTCAGGGTCTGTACGACAGACTACCGTCAGAGCACCACCTATCGGATTGGAATCATGACGTCATAGATCTGTCTGGAGCGTAGACACCCATGGTTACGGATAAACGACACTTTCATTGAGCGATGATCTGTATCTCTTTTGGGTGTAAAATGACATTGGTATCTCATAAAATAATCAGACATGTTTTAAGCCTTTTAATATTCGGGATGGTACAAGTGACCATGGATGTGCCAATTTGGGAGTGTTTGTGTTGTATCATTACATTATTGTAATAAATATATTTTGTATTAAAAAAAAGTGTGCAGGGTTTTAGCAAGTGTCCACACCATCACATCTGGGCACACCAAGAGGGGTTCGAACCCCTGATGCCAATGTGAGCAGCAGACTCATTGACCGCTTCGCTAACTTTCCGTCCCGGCACACACAAGCAGCCTCTGAATATATATAATTTTGATAGTAACAAACAAGCCCATTTAAATTGAAAAGGAGCCCCAGGGAGACCAGAGATTGAGAACCTGAGGAAATCTAGACTTGCTTTATTTAGGGCTTTAGCACTGCAGAGAGGGCTTGGCAGTAGGGAAAGTAATGTGGTTCAGGGACTGTGAGACAGACAAGCAGTGGTACAACATTGCGTAAAATCTTTTAGATATGTGTGTGATTTGGAAATGTAGACTTATTAAACATTACAAACAAGTAAGTACATTTTGTTTTTCCGAAAAAGTTCGAGACAGTATTGCTTTGAATCATAAAATAATGATCCAATGTTTTATGTATTTACGCTTGCTACAGACAATCATCTGTTTTCGGTTCATGAACACTGCAAAGTACCGTGTTATGGGGCTGTTGATTACCTGTTCCACATCTGTTGGGGTGAGGTGTAATGGAGTGGAACGTTGCTTGTGGGAATACTGTACTCATATATTTCGACATGAAGCACGCGTGCGTGCGTGTGTGTGTGTACCCGTGTTGTTTGTTGTTTAAATCCGCGCTAAGCAGTATACCTGCTAAATATCTGTGTTATTATCTGTGAATAATGTAGTCTGAACCAGACACTCCACGGGATGACATCATAAGCATCTGCCTACCCAAATGGGAAACGATGACATGTGTCAACCTTGTCAACGAGCCTGACTACCCATCCCGTTTGTCGTCTCTGAAGATACTGAAGATCAATTCTCGCCCGGATCTTCACACATGTTGTGAGTGCATGCGTGCGCGCGTGCAAGTTATACTTGGATAACACTGAGGTATGGTGCCACAGTTTACCAGGGTTAACTCCGGACATTTGCGACCACGGACAACGGACGGCACTCATTATCACGATACTATTTTAACGAAATCAGGATTGAACCATTGCAATTACGTCACTATTCAGGTGATTCAATTTCAAAACAAAAGGCTGACGACAAACTTCATCACAAATTATTCCCATTCACAGTCAGACCCTTCGTCACAAATTCTTCCCAATCACGATCAGCCCCTTGTGAACGTATTCTGAAATTAGATGTAGCACTGAGCGTGCTGCACGGGATAAACGTGGCGTACTACGCTTCCCATGCCGTGAAATGATAAACAAAGATGATACAGCACGAGGAAAACATGCGTGCTCGTGCATCGTTACCGCGTTCACCGCAAACAGAAACAGCAGCTCAAGTGCATCGTGAATCCCAGTCAAAAATGGTAAACACGGTGATGTAATACCGAAAACACGTGGAAACTCTGCGCAAGCGCACGTGAGAGATAATATGAGTCTGCTATAGGATTAACGGTTTATCATTTGACATGAAAAGAGACATTGTTTGCGTTAATGAACTGATACTTTTGATTACAACAACGGCTGTCTTCTGTGTGGAATGTTCCTTGTAAAATATCTGAGTCAATACCATGGAATTTCTCACAACGCATTTGTAAAATCGTTTTACTGAAAAATACACATGTTGCTTTATCAGCAAAATAGCAATATTTTTTATGCAGCGTGAATTTCCGTCTCGGAAAGTGTTTGTAACTAAATATTTTTAAATCGTTCTGATATTTCTAACTTTCAATGGAGGGGTAAACCGAGCTGTGAAAGTGTTCATTCGGTACACTAAAACCCTTGGTTTGATGGACCTCATGAGCGCACTCATGAAATAGGTTGATTCGTGAGTTTGTTTGGTTGTTTGTTTACTTTACATTATAACAAATATTTAAGAAATAGTATGCTAGTCTGGGCCAGTCAAACCAGTGTTGAGAGGAAACTGTCGGGTCTCTGATTCACAACCTACCATGACAGAGAGGTAGCCTAGTGGTTACAGCGTCGCTCGTCACGCCAAAGACACGGGTTCGATTCCCCACATGGGTACAATGTGTGAAGCCCTTTTCTGGTGTCCCCAGCTGTGATATTGCTGTTAAAAACCACCAGCGCCTTGAGCATGCACTAGTGCGTGGATATGTGCACTATATAAATATCCAATAAAAATAATAATAATACATCGCTGGAATGATGCTAAAGCCTGCGTAAAATCTCACTCACAACCAACCTAGCTTCCAAGTCTGACCACCCTGTCCCACCTTAAGTTTGTTTGTACTTTGTACCAAAAGACGTTTAAAAGATCACACTTGTTGTTAACTTGCCTGTACGCGGCACTAAAGTGATAAAACGAGGAATTGTTGGCAGAATCATTATTCTGTGTCTGAGTGGAGAATCAATGTTAAAGCCAGTATTAGTCAAGACTAGTTTTATCAGACACAGGCACAAGTGTAGTGAGTGAGTTTAGATTTACGCCACTTTTAGCAATATTCCAGCAATATCACGGCGGGGGACACCAGAAATGGGCTTCACATTGTACGTATCTGGGGAATAGAACCAGCGTCGTCGGCGTGACGAGCGAACGCTTTAACCACTTGGCTACCCCACCACCCCCGCACAAGTGTAACACCGCTAATTAAGTGCAATAATCTTGAACGCAGCGTAGACCCCTTTTTCACCTCATCTCAATATTTCAACCCGAAATTAGAAGGCTCTTCCGAAATCTTTATTAACCTTATATGTACTCAACATTGGGGGGGACTATGGCCTCTAACGCTAATTTACAGCAGAGCTCGAGACGTTGTAATAAACTGTTGCTATGTGTGACATAGTGACATTTTTCATTTTACTACGGTAATAATTAACCGTTAGCAAGAGCCACAACCTAACAGTTAAAATAGCTCACGAGTCACTTAACACGAACTTATCGTCAGGGAGCAGGTGCGTCTTGGGCCGAGGCAAAGAGCTTAATCCTCTGGATCAGGGAGTTTTGTATCCGAGGAGAAATTAAAAATCTGCTCACCAAGGAGACGAATTTTATTTGACTTTGATATGAAATGAAATATGTTCAAATTTGTAGCACAACTGTTGAAATGATCGCAGAAATGAATTTGAAATCAGTTTGAAAAATACACGGTTGGTTGCGGTCATGTTCTTAAAGCCGTGGGGCGTCGTGTTGTCGCCGCGTGCAATGGTGTTGGGAACAGGTGCGCGTCTGGAGTCTAAGTATACAGTTTGATCGTGGGGAGATTTGTATCGCCCCTGAGGGAGAAAGCAAACATGTCCTCACCTACAGGTGACTGTGTCTGTGATTTTCATTGCAAATATAATAATTTACCTTTGTGCAGCAACACTTTCACATAACCGAACCCTTCGTTAACAATTGATAAGGGGCTGATCGTTTATTATCGGGGGAAATGCGATTGGTCTTTGAACTGCATCTCATTGTGCATTCATCATTTTTTGAAACATAGTTCCGATGTGACACTCTTCCTCCCCCCCCCCCCCCCACACACACACCTCAAGTCTCTTATACGCTGTCCAATCTTTCAAGTCAGTTCAGTCTGCAATTATCAGGAGAAATGGAATGAAACGCGCGCGCACACACACATACACCCATGAAATCTTGACATGTCTACATAATTCCCTGATTAATTATTGGTGCAGCAGGCCTTTTGTTATTCCCTCTAACTGCACCACACATTGTGCTCATAATGGGTATCGAACCCGATCTTCGGCGTGACACTCGAACGCTTCAACCACTGGGCTACGAAACCACCCAAGATCCATATGGAACACCGCTTTAATTACATTCGTATCATATCACAACCGCCAGTGAAGACAAATCACACATATTGTACATAGGATTGCCTGTGTGCCTTTTTGTCATAATGGAAGTTGTACACCAATAACTCTATATTTCCCTCGAGTCATATGGAATTCTCGCACCGTTGTCATTCCACAGACTGCATTACGGGCGGTATGCTGACACCACCAGACAGAAGGTGCCCTTGTTCTAAACATGCAGATAACTTAATCCCATGATTTAGCGGTGTTGGCAAAGGAGGCAAAGACTGGTCCAAGTCCATAATTGCGGCTGTTAATGTTGAATGCACGAAAAAATATCACATGTTGTACCACACGCCAATGCGCCGAACGTTCGTGTACCACTCGAGATAGTCGACACAGAGCGCGACACTCAATTATCGATTCTCAGTTCTTCCCAAGGCTTGGTTCGGTAAGGTTCATTGCCAAAGTCTCAATCTGCGTGCTATTGGTATCACATCTCGGTCCGCTCTCGCCCTGACACACTTAATTAATTTCTGTCACACGAATTGACAGTAAGGTCTTTGTCCGATCCGACGTGTTTTGACGACTCCAAGACATTCTTGTCACCAGGCAAGCACCAGCAAGACCATCACTTCGCGTCTTTGGTTACTAAAAACAGTGACCTGGGACAGCTGTATTTGTCACCGACGAACCAAAACATACCTTCCCGCCAAAACTCTCCGAGCAGACGACAACGTACTGGGTCCATTTCTCTGTACCTCTCTGGATTACTGTCACATCGGACCGCTTAGTTTAATCGGTGGTCAGTAATCCAACGTCTGTGTACTCAATCCGTGCAATAACACGGTAAAAATAGCGAACAGAGCCCAGCCGTGGGGATACCCAAAGCATCTCTACTTCCTCGGCTCGCCGACAGCGAGTAAAGCGAGCGCCGCTGCATCCCTGCATCCCGTTCGGGCTACGCCGCGGTGTGTTCCAAGTTCGCACCTGGAAACTAACTAACTTCGGAACTATGCCAACAGAAGAAACAGAAATGGCGCCGACTGTAGCGATCGAGACGGTGGTGATAGTTCGCCCGTTAAAGGTAAGGCTCTCACATTTTTTCAACCTTGTTGCACATGCTCTTCTCAGAGATTTTCATGTACACAGATATAAAATATCAACTGCTAGAATGACTCTGGTGTCTCAAATACAACGAGTTTATAGGATATGGTGTGGGTGACCTAGAAAGTATTCTGCATGTGTTTCAGGCTATCCGACTCCGCCAGAACAAGCGTTAGGTTCCGCTGTTTTCCTGTTACAATCCTCAATGTCAAATGCCTCTTTAAGCTTCTACAGTGATAGGGAAGCTTCTAAAAGGGATACTATTTGGGTTTTACCAGCTACATGTGCAGTCATCAAATTACTACATGCACTTGAATGGCACTTGCTCTGTGATGTATGTTTGAGTTGAGAGGCCACGGTGTTAGGTGTTGCAAAGTGTATTTGTAGCACCTGCTTGTGATTCGCTCAAGGGATTATAACCATTGTTTGTACTCGTTTTGCAGCCTGTCTCACTTCAAGAGGTGAACAGTTCTGAGATTTAAATTAAGCAGAATCGATTTGCCAAGTGGATATGCTGAGCGATTGTTATCGTCAATATTTCATGGGCTCTTTTATCAATATTTCTTGCATTCAGCGCTCAGAATTAAGAATGAGTGATGGTGAAGTAAGCTAAGATTACTGAGTTCATATATGCAGATTATTCACAGCTGGATGCTTTCTCCATCCGTATGCCTGTACCATGTGCATCCGTATCCATGTACATACCCACATGTACATGGGGTCGATAGTCGTGAAAACTATCTTCATAATTTCGTTATGACATTTGTAGAGAATGTAAAGGACGTTTCAGTATAAGTCGTGACACATTTGTTTAAATCCTTGAACTATTTTGAGATATTTATGATGCATTATTCGAAGAATTGCATTCTAGTCAGTGCTACTTGTAATAATCTTTCTTGACCAGCTCGTTAAATGAGAATTACCACTTGTGACATTGCCCTGTATTGTACAAACTCGTGTGCGAGTGCTCCACCATACCACACACGAAGGCACAACCACTACCGTTGCACGAGCACAGTGAGTAATGCACACACTTACACACACATATAACATATGTTCACACACACACACACACACACACATGTTGAGTCATGCACATACACATGCAACATACATACATACTCTCTCTCTCTCTCACACACACATTACATACATTGACACATGTATGTAACATAAGAGGATGCAGAAATGTAAAACATGTGAAGCACACATATATCATATTTTGAACCTGACACCGGTATTAGAATACTTTCCCTTGAACCAACAGCAACACGATCGTGACAATTTAGGATTCTATAGTGAGTGAGTTAGTATTTAACGTCACATCGGCAATATTGCAGCCATATCGTGACGAAGGATTCTATAGTGCTTCCAACGTTGCATGCATATTTGATTACGAAATGTTTTAAAAGCTCCTTGAATAACTATTGATCCTTGAACGTTGATCAACGTCGTCAGTTGAACCAGCATGGTTATCTAACACAGATGCTGATGAACATCAAACGTATCTATCTGAAAAAGTAGTATGAGTTTTAGTTATGTCCCAGTCAGCTATAAAAAAATGAAATGACACACATACGAATGAACCCCTGTGAGTATTGTGTATTACCTAATTATATTACCTTCGTATCTTTGGCTAAGTGATTAATATAACGCATCGTTCGCGACAACATGGCATCTCTCACTTACGGAATGTCGCCCTGAACATCAGACCTATTGTACTATTCCTGGAACAGGGACTCACTTGATGAGGTATTTTATAGTCATACATGCCATGCGTGCAAATGGTTTTGCTGGTGGCATACCTAGCCAACGAGGCACTTCTTATGTGTTCCCAACCATATGCTCCTCACCACATGAGTGTTGTGGGATGCGATCCACGTGAATATCAAGAACCGTATACATAGACTGACGCATATTCTCTGAACATATATAATTTTGATAGTAACAAATATACCCATTTGAACTGAAAAGGAGCCCCCGTGAGATGGGTGAGGTGAAATTGGGTTTAACGTCGTGCTTGAGAATATTTCGCTCATATGACAACGTGCATGCGTGTGTATGTGTATGTGCGGCTGCTTGTACTAGCCCAGACTTAAGCTGGTTTTATAGTGCTAGCCCACTGAGATACCATGCCGCAGTGAAGCATGAATACCCCACTCAGACACATTATTATTACTCCGACCCGACCAGTCCTTGTTGTACCCAGTAATGCCGAGCGCCTAACAGGGACCAACAAGTACAATAGTTTAACGTCTTTTGGTATGACGCGTTCGGGGATCGAACCCGCGACCTTCCGCTCGCCGGGCGGACGCTCTAACCACGACACCACGGAGGTGGTCCTGCCCAGGGAGATTGGAGATTCAGGCCCTGGGAAATCTTGACTTGCTTCATCTAGAGCTTTAGCATTGCAGGGAGGGCCAGGCGGTAGGGAAAATAATGTGGTTCAGGGACTGTGAGACAGATTAGCGTATTCGTTGTACATGGTGGTACATATGTGTATCAAAGGGCCTGTCCTTTTCTTTTTTGGTGTGTTTAGAATTGGGACAAAGTAGATCCAGTCACTTAATGTGCTTTTGAGAAGTTTTTGAGATTAGTGTCTATTAATATATTGAGTCAGTCCCAAAAAATGGTGGAAGGGTAATTGGCAACGAAGTTGTGTTTTTACGACTGACATTCCATTGTGTGGATTGTCAAACAGATAGTTCTCACCGAGAAATTGTCACTGTGCAGATGGTGGCTGTGCTTTCTGTTGGGTAATAATCAGGTCTCCATCTCCCATTTCAGTGATGCATTCTCCTGTAGCGTACCTTTACGACAAGCACCTCGATACAACACTTTGGAGTGCTTAACTTCGTTTCTGTGCTTAACAGGGATGCTTTTTAACATTCAGTTTACCAGAGGTTGATAACCTTTGCTGAAATATAAAGGTAGAAGAGCCAATATTCGTTCAGTATTTCTTCTTTTGTCTATGTAACATGATAGCATCATTCACTGTGAACTCTTGCACAGTGCCGGTCGTGGTTTACACAGCTGCATGTAGTGTGAACTAACGCAAACGTTACTTGTGATATGGAGCAATGACATCACATTGGACAGCTATGTCATTAGGAATAAAAGCTGTTCGTCGAGAGTCTTACTGGGCATTTTGAAATTGGATGTGGTCATGGATAGGAGTACTGCAGATAACGACTGCATTGTTTCAGGGCTACTTCTGGTATCTTCTCATCATCAATAGAATGACATTGTGAAACAGAAGAATGAATGGATGAGAGAACATCTCTCTCTCACTGACAGACATACATACATTTGTGCACTGTTATATGTGTTGTGTGTGTGTGTGTGTGTGTGTGTGTGAGAGAGAGAGAGAGAGAGAGAGATGTTCTCTCGTCCTTTCATTCTTCTGTTTCACAATGCCATTCTGTTGATGATGAGAAGATACCAGAAGTTAGAGAGAGAGAGAGAGAGGTGTTCTCTCATCCTTTCATTCTTCTGTTTCACAATGCCATTCTATTGATGATGAGAAGGTACCAGAAGTGAGAGAGAGAGAGAGAGAGAGAGAGAGAGAGAGAGAGAGAGAGAGAGAGAGAGAAGTCACTTCCTTAATACCAGATACACATCAGTGACAAGTTTGCCGCTCTGCACGCAGATGAGAATGGACAGTCATGCGAGTTGCGACAGGACCACGTGTTCAATGTATTGAATGATTAAACTGATTAAATGAATTGACATGGAGAAGAAAATGTTGAATCACCGAGACACAGCGGGGAACATCTCCCCGATCACTTGTTGCACTGATTGGCTTGATTGAAGTCCCAATCTAAGCAGTCATCTTCAGTGTCCTAGATGTGCACTGATCACTTAATTGTAAAAGTGAATCAGCTGACCCTATAAATTCCGATCAGAACGAGATAATCATTGAATGTTACATTTCAACAGTATTATTTTCAACATTACTAAATAAAACAGGAATTAGGAACAGGCGTGATGCATCTTAGTCTCACAGTGCCTGAACCCTTATTATTTCCCCTTCCGCCCAGCCCTCACTTTAACGCACGGGCCCTAAGTCAAGCAAGTCTACATTTTCCACAGTTCAGTCACTCGCATCTCACTGGGGCTTCTGTTTACTCCATATGTAATTTCTATCAAAGATATTTATTTTCAGATACTAAGATTTAAATCGTTAGAGTCTACACACATCTCTATAAGTCGATTATGTAGTCATCATGGAATTAATTATCTGTAATTTAATGTGAATATATCGAAAACGCTTGCATTTATTTGAATTATTACTTTAACTGACTGACTGACTGACTGAGTTTAGTTTTACGCCGCTTTTAGCAATATTACAGCAATATCACGGCGGGGGACACCAGAAATGGGCTTAACACATTGTGCCCATGTGGGGAATCGAACCCGGGTCTTCGGCGTGACGAGCCAACGCTTTAACCACTAGGCTACCCCACCGCCCCATTACTTTAACATTGCATTGAATAGACCTATGAATCGTTTGAATATACCTCACCAGAACCACTAAATCCAAGTTAAGATTTAATAATTCCTCCTGGAAGTACTAATTCTTTAAGCATTCACGACAGATTCATCGTGATGTTGGCTGTTTTCTCTTTTACCCAACATATTACACTGAAATAATCCCTTCTCAAAACTATGGTATTAGCCAACAAGTGAGTGAGTATGGTTTTACGCAGTTTTTAGCAATATTCCAGCAATATCACGGCGGGGGACACCATAAATGAGCTTCACATATTGTACCCATGTGGGGAATCGAACCCGGGTTTTCAGCGTGACGAGCGAACGCTTTAACCACTGGGCTACCCCTCGGACCCTATTGGTCAACAAGACAGGTCAAAAGGTCAAACTGTATGTTGCTGGAACCCCTGCAGTATGTTATTTACAAACCACCTGGTGAAGCAGCTGGTATTCATCTGAAAACGGTATTCTCTGTGCCGAGTTCATGAA